TCATCTCCACTCAGATTGTCCCAAAGTTGTAGTCCTTGGTTCAATCTGTAGAGCAGGCCTTCTCTGATTGCTCCCCAAAGTGCCCCAAATGACAGAAAACACACAAAATGAGCCATCCTGGGGCTTTGAGGTGATATGTATGCATAGGGTCAAAATTCCTTTGAAATCTCTATTTTTGTAATTAAATTTACATTCTACTCTGTGGCATAGAGATGTTTCATTTTTAATATAAAAGCAATGTTCTAAATTACTCTTAAGGATCATCGGTATTCCAGGGCAGGCATATCCTTTTTTTTCCCCCCGACGCTGTGGTTCTCTGCACTCCCCAGAACACCACTTTGATCCAAAGCCATCTATAAACACTTGCCCAGATTGCTCACAGGATGCAGGCTGCCTGTCTGAGGTAGGAGTGTGGTCTGTTGCCTTTTGAAGCAGAGCAAAATATCCAACACAGACGAGAGTTAACCTAGAATTAGGCAGTCTCAGTATCTCCTACAAATGAGAACTTTTTTCTTCCTAAGTATATCTGATCTTGCCCTCCCCACATTAAACCTCCTCCTACTTTCTTTTTAATAACTGCTTTTCTAAATTACCAGGGTTTTGCAGTTTGGTATTTGTGTTATTCCTTCCTGCCTATGATTATCTGCAAATATACATAAACCTCTCGATTAGACAGTTTACGTTTCGCACACTACCGATCCGTTTTAAAAATGTAAATTTCACTTCTTAAAGTCACAGTTAAGAATGAAAATAATTTTTACTTTGTAAAAGTATTAAATGAATGAAGTATATAATCAGCAATAATAGCATAATTGGTCATCCATTGCATAGAAATGTATGTGGGGGTTTTCCTGAAAATTACCACTTACGTGTGTGCTATTTTAAGTGTTATTGCATTTTTTTTTTTTTTTTTTTTTTTTGAGACAGAGTCTGGCTCTGTCACCACGCTTGAATGCAGTGGTGTAATCTTGGCTCACTACAATCTCTGCCTCCTGGGTTCAAGCCATTCTCCTGCCTCAGCCTCCCGAGTAGCTGGGACTACAGGGGCTCACCACCACGCCTGGCTAATTTTTGTATTTTTTAGTAAAGATGGGGTTTCACCATGTTGGTCAGGCTGGTCTCGCATTTCTGACCTCAGGTGATCCACCCCCGCCTTGGCCTCTCAAAGTGTTGGGATTATAGGCGTGAGTCACAGCTTCCGGCATTAATTGAATTTTAGTAACATAAAGTTTGATATAGAATGTAGACTACTCTGCATTTTCTTATGTTATTAAAAATGAGCATTTTTACTCCCCAATGGCACCCATTCTAACTTAAACTTTCTACATAGTACTTGCGTTTCTAATCAGATAAGTTTTCCCTTCAACTACATTTATGTTAAGTAAAAAAGAAATAAAAGCTTTTTAAGTAAATGATTGGCATATTATAGGTAAAAGAAAACCACTAGGTGTCATTATAGACCAAATACTATCTAGGTATCATTTTACTGTGACATTTTGGTTTCCTGAAAGATAAATACTAAATAAATTTTTAAAAATTAAACTTTCAAAATATTTAGGAAGTTGACTCCTTTCTTTGAAACAGAGTCTCACTCCGTTGCCCAGGCTGGAATGCAGTGGCGTGATCTTGGTTCACTGTAACGTCTACCTCCCAAGTTCAAGCCATTCTTGTGCCTCAGCCTCCTGAGTAGCTAGGATTACAGGCATACACCACCATGCCCAGCTAATTTTTGTATTTTTGGTAGAGACGGTTTCACCATGTCAGCCAGGTTGGTCTCAAATTCCAGGCTTCAAGTGATCCATCCACCTCCCAAAATGCTGGGATTACAGGCGTGAGCCAGGGTATCCAGCTTGCTGACATAATTTTTTTTTTTTTTTTTTTTTTTTAGCATTGCGTGGTAGTCTTCATGTAAGGCTGAGCTTTATTGTGTGTTTTTAGGATATTATCAACTCACTGGTAACAACAGTATTCATGCTCATCGTAGCTGTGTTGGCACTGATACCAGAAACCACAACGTTGACAGTTGTTGGAGGGGTAAGTGGAAGTCTTTCTGGTTTCTTTCTTCAGGTTTCATCAGAATGCAAATTTATTTGGAAAACAGATGTAAGAATAGAATGCTATACTGTATTCATCCTTGAGGTTCCTAGACCAATATACAGTGCCTAGTGGCTTAATATTTTTTGTTTTTGTTTTTTGAGATGGAGTCTTGCTCTGTCACCAGGCTGGAGGGCAGTAGCACAATCTCAGCTCACTACAACCTCCGCCTCCTGGGTTCAAGCGATTCTCCTGCCTCAGCCTCCCGAGTAGCTGGGACTACAGGCGCACACCACCACGCCCAGCTAATTTTTTGTGTTTTAGTAGATACGGGGTTTCACCACGTTGACCAGGATTGTCTTGATCTCCTGACCTCGTGATCCATCCACCTCGGCCTCCAAAAGTGCTAGGGATTACAGGCATGAGCCACCACGCCCAGCCAGCTTAATATTTTTGTCTGTGAATGCTTGCTGTGATTAATATGAAGGAATATGATTTTATACTAGAAGTGGAATTAACCTGATAAAGAGGTTCCTACAGATTTCTTATAGGTACGTAGAGCTAGACTAGACTGACAAAAGCTGCTACTAGAATTAGTTACAGCACTTAGCTCTGAGAAACCTGATGTCAAGCAAAACAAAAAAAGATGGATAAGTTTCATAGCTCTCCCTTTTATAGAAAAGGATACATACCACTTGTTAAGATGAGACAGACTGTTTTGAGCTCAGTTATTTCTTGTTCAGATCCTTCGGATAGAATAGAATAGAAGATGCCCTTATGGTAAGGGAACATTGTTAGGGCACCTTGCAACTAAAGGATCATTTTGAACACTGCTTGAAGAGAAGCAGATCAATTCCATCAGACCTTATCCTAGAAAGCAAACCAGAATATGACTCAAGTAATTTAGTTATAGTTCTAACTGATATTCTTCTAAGATTTCTCACACAAGGTTCAAAATCTTTTTGGCTTTTCTAAGTTCTGTCCTAGAAAATTGAATTAGAAAGTTCTTAAATAAATCTTCCTGCTTCCTTGTTCTTTCATAGTATGGGTCACTTAGGAGAACTCTCAGATAGTCATATATGTTAGAATCCATGATTTTCATCTCCCTTAGGCCCTAAGCAACTTCATGAAGGATCAGAATATTCTAGAAATGAGATCGATTGTGTATCAATTTACCCCCGTTGTTTTTGAAGATAATACTCATCTTTCTACTATGAAGAAGGAGGAAACCAGGCATAGGATTTACTTTCATTCACGTTTTTACTCATTCATTCATTTCCTCATTTCTTAAGTGTACTTCAGCAGGGGCTGACAAAGTATAGAGTTGTGCTGTTCAGTATAGTAACAGCAGTTGCTAGCCACATGGGACTACTGAGTACTGGAAATGTGGCCAGTCTGAATCAAGATCAGCTGTAAGCATAAAAATACACATTGAATTTCAAAGATGTTTTACCCCAACAAAGAATGTAGAGTACATTGTTAATGATTGCATGTTAAATGATAGTATTTTAGATATACTGAGCAAATATATTAAATCTATGACTTATTTCTTTACATTTATAATGTGGCTGTTAAAAAATCTTTAATTATATGGCTATGTTACATGTGACTGGCATTATGCTTCTTTTAGGCAGCACTGGACTAGAGTGTGAGCCCTATCCTCACGTTGCTTAGAGCCTAACAGAGACAGAAGTGGAAACCACTCTATGTAAGCTGTTGACAGGGAGCTGCAGGGTGCAGAAAAGAGGAAACTACCTCTCTGGCAGTGGAATTGCTATTTGCTGAGAATAAAGGAGATAAAAGTGAAAAGTTTCCAGGTAGAGGAGCCAATAATGTATAGAATGCCAGTCATGAAAAGATTGGTAGCAGGTATTCAGTGTGGTCAGAACCTAGGAGGCAGTGGCTTGAGACTCTGGGTAGAAAAGGAGACTGTTAGAGCCATGTGTAGAGCCAGGAAGCCAAACTTCCTGATCACTGGATGAAGCTGATCAAATAGCGTGCAAGGAATGACATCACCTCCTCCGTTCACGGCGCCAGCTCTCAAATAGCCATGAGAGTGTCTGAAGGCCCCCACATGTTCTTGTTTATTGCCTTTCCCTCAATTTTACTTTCTTAAGGCATATTTAGAATGTCACCCCTTAAGCAGATGTAGCCTAGCCTTTGAGAGTTCACTTTGGCTCATCTTATTAACTTCGGTTTTTTGGAGCTACAGTCCCCATAATTTAATACTGAGCTGGTGTTAACTTTGACCTTGACTTCCCTAGAGTTTGTCAGCAGAGAAGTCAAAGAGTTGAATACTGGGGTTAGAAATATTGATTGGTAACTAAATATCCTCAGTAGGGCTTAAAAGAATACATGTAAGAGCAGGTCAAGAGATACAAGCAAACAAGTATTTATTTCAGAGCCCGCACTGCTTCATTATTTTTCTGCTCAGTTAAATTACCTTTTCTCTTTCTATAGGCAAGTATCTAGAAAACTTTGCAATGAGGAGAATAAGATGATCTCTGAATCTCTCCGTGTTAGTATTAGGTGCAGCACAGGGGCAATCTGAGTGCCCTAACCAGAGAGGAGTCTGGCGGGCATACCACTTAACACTTATGTGAATGACGGGAGTGGGGACAACGGTCAGAGCAGTGACATGTGTCTTTCTTTCCAGGTGTTTGCACTTGTGGCAGCAGTGTGCTGTCTTGCCGACGGGGCCCTTATTTACCGGAAGCTTCTGTTCAATCCCAGTGGTCCTTACCAGAAAAAGCCTGTTCATGAAAAAAAATAAGTTTTGTAATTTTATATTACTTTTTAGTTTGATAGTATTAAACGTATTTCTTTATTCTTCCACATATTTTCTGCGGTTATTTTAACTCAGTATGGGAGCTGGAGGAAGAGATTTCCGAACTCTGCGCCTAGCGCAGAGCGCTGCTATAACTTCGAAGGGATCGGGTTTTCCGGCTCCCGCGGCCTGGGTGGTGTGGCAGGGAAAAATGTGCCAGGATCAGCCTTGGGGATCTTTGAATCTCTTTACTGCCTGGCCGGTCGGCAGCTCCGAGGGGTGGGGTTGCAGAGGTTTTGCGTTCTCAGGCTAGGCATTGGCATTGCACCCCTCCCTCCCCGTGGCAACGAGGGTGGCTGAAGGGCTTAACTTGTCGGCGGGGCAGCAAGAACTCGGTGCGCGCGCCGGAGAGGTAGCAGCCGTTGGGACGTGACGCTGGTTCCCAGGGGAAAGCCAGCCGCTGCTGCGGCACTGGTTCAGACGGCCAGGCCCTTGGGACCCACCATGAATCCTGAAGATACCAAATCTGAGTCGTCCAAGGCACCTTCAGGGAGCTCGAAACAACCAGAGACTGCCACAGACCTGGCAAGTGGCAGCAATGTCGTGAGTTCTGTACCCAAGGCACAGCGCGACAAGTCAGCGAAGACCGCACCCCGGAAGCACTCTGCCGTCTCAGTTCGCACAGTGCAGTCTGTAGCCCCCGCACGTCCCAAAGGCAGCGAGGGCACTGCACCCTCAAGGAAAGCCACCGAACGCCCACCCCCAACGCCCTCTGCACCCACTGAGTCCAAACTCTTAAATGAGACAGCGATCAAAGAGCGTGCGGAGGGCCGAGCCAAAGTCCCGTACAAATTCAGGGACAGCCTCAAGCGTTTTTTCTTCTCGCCCACTGGAATGTTGAAGATCCTGAGAATGGTGAGCGGAGAGCTGGTGAGACCTAGCTGGGCGGATGTGACCGGCAGTGGCCTCGGGGAAATGCCCAGGGGGCGCCAGTTCCAGAAAGCTTCCATAGTGCACTTTGCCACTCACTTTCGTTTTGCCTCACCTTTCCTCCCCACAGCCCCTTGCTCTCCACACACTCAACCCTTCCTACTCAACTTGTCTTGTTTTCCTTATCTTTTTTACTTCTCAGGTTTCCTCTCACAAAGGAAATTAGGAAAGCAATGAAGATAATAGGAACTTATAAGTTAGGAAACAAAAATAATCAATACAAGGGCTGTCATTTGAAAGACCTGTTAAATTGATAAACCACTGGCCAATATAATCAAGAAAAAAAAGGGAGAAGAGAGGATGTATATTTAAAATTAGAAAACAATATGGGAAAATAATCACAAACATCAGTGAAACTGAAAGGCTCTACAGGGAGTATCTTGCAAAACAAATCAATGTGAATAACTGGATGAAATGGTTAATTTTCTGGAAAAATATAAATTACCAAAACTGATCCCAGAATAGGGAAAAATTTAAAAAGGGCAATATAAACATAGAAGAAAATGAGAATTTCATCAAATGAGTATCTTTCAAAAATGTATCAGGCCCAGGCCCTTTCACAAGTTAACTCTTTCAAGCCTTCATGAGATATAATTCTGATACTACTCTGAATTTGTCAAGGAATAAAGAAGAAACACTACTGAACTATCTTTACAAAGTCAGTATAATACTGATAGGAAAACTTGACCGAGCTCAGAAAAAGAAAATGAACTAGAGATCTCAATATATAATATCAATATATTAGCAGATAATATTCATCACTACTTTATGAAAATATAATATCACAAGGAAGAAACAGGATGATTCAATATAGACTCTATTAAAATAATTCACTGTATTATAATAGGAAAAAATGAGATATCACATTATAAAAAATTATGAGATTATGTCACAGAACGTGACAAAATTCAACATTTGTCCCTGATTTTCAAGAAGGGAGACCAGTAAGAGAGGAGTATATAAATATTCCATTGGCATTATAAAAATAAACATTTCAAACTAAGACCATCATATTTAACAACAGAAGGATTCGTTAAATGAGGGGAACAAATGATGCCTGCTGCACTGTGAGTCAATGTTTCTGAAACCACTAGTCATAATTAGGAAGAAAAAAATATTTGAAAAGAGGTGGACAGGTATGGTGGCTCACACCTGTAATCCCAGCACTTTGGGAGGCCAAGGTGGGTAAATCACCTTAGGTGAGGAGTTCAAGACCAGCCTGGTCAATATGGTGAAACCCCATCTCTACTAAAAATACAAAAATTAGCCAGGTGTGGTGGCGCACACCTGTAGTCCCAGCTACTCAGGGGGCTGAGGCAGGAGAATCGCTTGAACCTGTGAGGTGGGGGTTGCAGTGAGCTGATAGCGTGCCAGTACACTCCAGCCTGGGTGACAGAGCGAGACTCCATCTCAAAAAAAAAAAAAAAAGAAGTAAAGTATATCCTTTCTTTCAGCTAATATGATTATATATCTAGAAAAACCCAAATCAGCTGGAAACAATTTAGAACAAGAGAGTTTAGTTAGGTGACTCATTATTGTGTTAATAAATAAACTAAAATCTTTCCTAGACAAATAACCACTTAAAATGTAAGAAAATATTTCTCTTTACAACAGTAATCAAAATGATCAAATATCTAAAATAAGTGAAATATGATACACATATGGGAAGAAAACTAAAACTCTCCTGAGACATCTTTTTTTTTCTTTTTTTTTATTGCATTTTAGGTTTTGGGGTACATGTGAAGAACATGCAAGATTGTTGCATAGGTACACACATGGCAGTGTGATTTGCTGCCTTCCTCCCCTTCACCTATATCTGGCATTTCTCCCCATGCTATCTCTCCCCACCTCCCCATCCCCCGTCCCTCCCCCATTTCCCCCCAACAGAACCCAGTGTGTAGCGCTCCCCTCCCTGTGTCCATGTGTTCTCATTGTTCAACACCCGCCTATGAGTGAGAACATACGGTGTTTGATTTTCTGCTGTTGTGTCAGTTTGCTGAGAATGATGGTTTCCAGGTTCATCCATGTCCCTACAAAGGACACGAACTCATCATTTTTGATGCCTGCATAATATTCCATGGTATATATGTACCACATTTTCCCTGTCCAGTCTATCATCAATGGGCATTTGGGTTGGTTCCAGGTCTTAGACCTGAGACATCTTTTTTAAAACCATCAGAATAACTGGAAAGACATACTTTGTTCTTGAGAAAAACTTAAGTGTGAATTCTTCCAAATTATAAGTATTTAAGTATTTCATTTAGAAATCCCAACTAAAATGCCAACACTTAGCTTGGGGAACTTGACCAACACAAACATGGGAGGCATAAACAGTCTGAGAATGAGTATTAGGAAGACTAGGCCAAACAATAACTCAGTAGAAAGTGAATTGCCTATCACAGAGTACTAGAGGAGGAAGCAACAATTCAGTGAAAGAACAGTCTCAAGAGACCAAAATACATCTGAGAATTTAGTATACCATAAAGGTTGGATTTCAGATCAATGGGGATAATACTGGCATTTCCCAGTAAATGATGTTGAGATAATCAGCAGCTGTTTGGAAAGAAAGAAAACTGAGGCTCTTCCTCACTTCTTCTACCAAAATCAACATATATGTATTTTACCAGTATATATACAGACTTCTTTCTAGTGTTCAGTATGAACTGTTAATACTGGTTACTTTTAAGGAGAGACACTAAGGTTAAGTTGGGGGGAAGAGAAAGAAATTGATATATTTTTTATCCTTGTATACTGTGTGCTTTTTTATTATTCTCATGAATTTTTCATTTCTTCAAAATATAAGAAATGTTAAAAATGTATGTGCGAAACAGTACAGGCCACTGCACCACACTGTAATCAGATTTACATTCTGACAATATAGATTTTTTTAAATTGTGCATTAAAACAAATACTGTTTCTTTTATTGCAGAGTCTTATCATAGGAGCATTAGCTTGTTTCATCATCGCCCAAGCCAATGAGTCATTTATAGCAATCACAATTCTGGAAATCTGCATCGTCGTTTTTTTTATGCTAATATATATGCTAACCCTTCACCACTTGCTGACCTATTTACATTGGCCCTTACTTGTAAGTGTTCATTTTTACAATTCTTCACATACAAGCTTTGCCCTCAGCCCCAGAGTAAGGACTCTCCTCAAGTGAAAACAACAGAGCTATCTCTCTAGAGAAGGACATAGCTGAGCTGTGACAGTTAGGGTGTGCCCTGGTCCAGAAAGATCCCTTGGAGCCTTGTGCCTACAGGACAGCCAACACACTCCTACTCTAGCCCTGAGTGTAAAGCCCCTTATTACTGCACTAAACATATGGTACTTGTCAGCTTGTCCTAAAAAGATTTTTAATTAGTGCATGAAGTAGGTAAACACATTTCTTACCCATTGCTTGTAAAACAGTGCATGTTTCTGCTTTGCAAACAGCACTCTGATTACAAACATTCCTCCCAAAAACAAAAGCTGATATGATGGAGTTTGTAGAAAATTGCTGTGTATACCCTTGAAGATTATAGAGTCAACCTTTGTGTGTATGTTAGGGTTTGTATCACAAAGGGGTGCTGGACTAACCAGAAAAAGACCTATAGAGCCTTCTTTAATAGCTTTTCCCAGACTTTCACATTCTTTGCCAACTGAAAAACTGCTGAAGCTAATCCCTTAGGTCTCAGACTAGAGAAGCAGTGTGGTTTCGTCCAGAGGCAGCCATGGGCCTTTCCTAGCCATGTGACCTTTAGCCTCAATTTCCCCATTTAAGAAATACAGAGAAGGAAAAGCATGGTAATAACTACCTCATAGGGTTTCCAAAATATTTAAGTGTGTACAAAGCCAATAGCACAGTATGTGACACAAATTAAACCTTCTAATGTCCAAAAAGAACAGCCAGCCATCAGAACCATCTGATATCTGGGTGGCGTTTGCCATCCTCTCTTGCACTGTGAACAACCCTAATTCAGAGCTTAGACCTCTTCCACGTCCCACTTCCTTATAGAACATTTTTCTAACCTCAAAGTAAGAGCGTTCCTTTTGAACTAAAACTCAAAATAGTTTCTACAAATGTGAGAGATTTTCTGCAAAGGCTGCTGAGCTCTCTCTGTCCCACAGAATGCCGAGTACAGGAAGCAGACAAAGCAAATATGAGCGACTTTAATTGAACATGTGGAAGACCCTTTTAGTTGTGGAGAGGTTTCTGAGGGGAAGCTCAAATCTCTGTCCATGGAAATTTTCAAGAAGGGAAGGTAAAGTAATCATTTTTGAGCATATACCATGTGCCAGATACTTTTTCATGCTACCTTATTTAATCCTCACAACAACCCAGTGAGGTTATAGTCATCCCTCACCCCCCACTTAACAGATGAGAAAATTGGATTAAAAACATTCAATTGCCCATGGCCATATGTAGGTGCATTGGAACTCAGATTTGCACCCAGGTCTATCTGATTCTAAAGCCCAGACTCTTTTGAGACTATATAACCTATTATCTTGTGATGGTTTTCTATCTCCATCCTCCGTTAAGGTAAGAAACTCAGTAAAACTACATCTTTATGTCCTCCTCAGGTTCTCTAAATTTTATCTCTGTATCTTGTTTCCTCATGATTTTCTTAAAATATGGAGCCAAAGGCCAGGTACGTGGCTCAAACCTGTAATCCCAGCATTTTGGGAGGCTGAGGCAGGTGGATCACAAGGTCAGGAGTTCAAGACCAGCCTGGCCAACATGGTGAAACCCTGTCTCTCCTAAAAATACAAAAATCAGCCAGGCATGGTGGCGGGCACCTGTAATCCCAGTTACTC